TTACCATATATGCACGAGTATTTTGCTGCTGCGAGTGAGCGCCTTTCCTCCCACTTTTTTTACTGTTTGGACTAAAGAAGATACCACAATGTTATTAGTTTATCCTTTGACAATGTTCATGTTTATAAAATATGTGTCTGCTTGAGGTGGGTTCTACAAAGCAAAAAGGAAGATAAATATAGATTATCTATTTTTTGAGCGCATATACTGGACAGAGCGTCAGTGTCACGGACTCCCAAGACGATCTAATAACTGCGATCATCTTTTGAGCGATGCGAAGTGTCTCTGGGAGGATGATTGTTTATTTTATAAATACGATAAAACAGAATACGGTAAAATTACTTTCATCATATTTTTACACGAATAGTACTTTGTAGAAAGGTAAGCAGACGGCTTATAGAATACCATCAGATTTTTATCAAGGTTTATTAATGCTGGATTTTACTGTGTAAATGAATGCACATTGAGAGTCGGATACATTTTCGAGTTTTGCGGATGTGGTTCGGATATGGATACAAAGTCTACGGATGCGGATCGGATGCCGATGCAATTAGTTAAGAACATTTGTGGATGCGGATCGGGTGCGGATACGAAGTTTGCGGATCTGGATCGGATGCGGATGATCAAATCGTTATCCGCGCAGGGCTTTAGTCATCGGCCATAGACGCTTTCAGGCAGCTGTGCGTGGGCGCCGCCATAGCCAACCTTCAGTTTTTGTTTCCTCTTATTTCGTTTGCTTCTCTTAATCATTGCCGCAGCAGGACAGGTTATTGCCACTTTAGGCGCTACTGTGTCCTCCCCAGCATAGGCCTTTGTGAATGCTCATCAACGCCCTCTTCAGGGGCTGGGTATCTCGGTAAGACAAGAGAAGGTCGGCAATGGCGGCTCAATCTGGCACGTGCCCAAAGCGTCTATATCGTAGATAAAGAAAAAGAATGGTCCCAGGACCGATCCCTGAGGCACACCCGACAGCATATCAAGATTTAGTGATCGATGGCCATTCGTTTCTTTATGGAGAAAGAAAAGCAACGAATTTCGCCCGGCGGTGTTTGCCCTGCGAGTGGCGTTGGAAGAGTGGCTGTTGCGCCGCGTGGAAAGCGAACGTGCTGCACGACAAAGTTTGTCGGTTCTTCGCGGCATATTCGCTCCATGGAGTTCAGCCTTTAAAAGTATTGTATAAAGTTCCTACGTCATCTCCCGTCTCCGAGTCACTGGGGCACATGTCAAGTGAATCTATAATAGCCTCGTCATCTGTGGCAGGGGGTCCATTTAAAATGGCACCACCTCGTGAATGGGCTTCTGTATTTTTGGTAACAAAAGAAAGCACACCGTCTGTTGCCGTGTGGCACTGCTCGCTCGGTTAAGGATTGCATTCGACAGGTTTCAAGAAAAAGAAAGCTCTTCACACGAAATAACAGCCAGCATTCCTCACACCATAGGCTAGGCTTCTTGGAGCTTTTAATGGCACATAATATAGTCATCGCCTCGTGTGGGTATTTACTGGACACAAGAAACAGCGGGAAGCTAGGATCAATACTCAACAAGATAGAGTGTGAGAGAAAAAAGAAACGAATGGGTGCAAACCACAATAAACGTCTTAAAAGAGCAGACCAACGTTTGGAACATTAAAAGAGGCTAGGCTATTTGTGTCTGTTAGAAGTGACTAATTGGCAAGCTCAGACCACCATAGCACGAGCTATCCCTGGCACTTGTGACGTGGGAGACGACCTTTGTTCGCCGACGAGCCACGTGTTTGAGAACCCCCCGGTATATACGTGCCTTCATTCTTGCTACGTAAACATCTTATATTTTCTCCATTTCTGGGGACATGTGGGCATAGTAGGAATCCTACTCTCACCAGGGGTAGTTTGCTTACCTCTGTGGTTATTTCTCTCCTAAGATAAAAAGGCATTTGCCTATGTTGGGACAGCGTACCAAGAGGGCTGCTGTGAATGTCTTTTTGCTATGCTCACAAAAGCGCAATCGCACCTTTGGAAGAAGTGGGAAGAGGCTCGAAATGAGAATGAAGGGAACTGCATCTGCATACTTCAGAGCGACATCTAAATTTACTGGCGGTAAGCATCGTGCTAATAAAAAAAAAAAAGAAATTTAGAAAAAGAATATTAAAGGGTTTTGTTCAATGAACTGATATGTATATATGTATCTGTCTTCTCCGTCTTGTTCTGGTTGGTGGCCAAGTGGACACTCTGTGTGTTTACTCAAGCCTGCAAAGTTCTAGGTTTCTCTCGAAGCCAAGGATTTAGGAATTTTTATTGTAAATTTCACAAAACTAATTTATACACTCGCATCTAAACTTTTCCATCTTTAAAGAAGATTTTGGCCTCTTCCCCGTTCCTCCTTCTCTGCCAGAATGCTGATGGCACAACAGAACGAGAGATGTGTGCTGTCTCTGCTTGGTCTGCGAAGGAAGAACGGGTGAGTGAACTGCGGGCACATTACAATACCCACATCCATGCGGGTGCCGCACTTGAAAGCACATTCCATCCATATCGCAGCACCAAAATGCTAGTTAAAAATTCAATCTGTACCGTTCTTGCTACTCGAATACAATTGAGCAACTGAGGATTTTGTAGATTATTGTTTTCAAAACCGGCGTCTACGAGGTGTGGGCGAGACTGGGCGTCCTGGAGGTAATATGCATATGTCAGTATGACCTCGCAGCTTCTAGAAGCAGCCGAAACATGCTACGTTCGTGTGAGACAAAATGAGACCAAATAGCTAATGATAAAGTTGAGCAGCAAATTACTCCAGAATCTTTCGTGAAATGGAAGCAATCGCTGGGTAACTGCTTGAAGTTTACTCTGCGATTTCCCGATATGCTAGAAAAGGTTGTCGCGTGTGAAAAGACGTGGATTTTCCGGTGCAATTCGTACACAAAGCCAATGGATGCGTTGAAGAACACCCATGTCACCGGAAATAAGAAAAAGCAGGTAGGAGCAGGTTGAAATGGAAGGCAGTGCTGATTGGCGTCTTTATTATCAAAGGCACAGTCTTGATCAAATGGAGGTCTGTCAGTTAGTAATCAGCATTGCCTCCAAGTTCTGGCCAAGCTGAGAGTAGCGAGTAAGAGTCCTGGTAGAGCAGTGTGTAGGTTCTCTAACTATCGCGAAAAGGCTCGCAATGCTCTGTCCATGAAGCAGTTCTTGGCCTAGATGAGGACTTCAGTGTTGGGCCACCCTCCTTACTTCCCAGATCTAGCTCCATATAACCTTTATGTGGCAAAGGTTGAATGCAGCGGCGCTGCTGAGGGGCTGAGGCATGGTTGCCCGATCCCAACAATGCCAAATTTGCGTGGTGCATGCGGGACGGGGGAGTATTTTTAAAGTGCCAAGTTGCAAGATTGAAATAGGTAGTAGACTTTTGCCACCAGTCCCAATATTACTGCGATGTGCTTGCAGTTTTATTTACCTGGTTTTCACGTGCAAACCGGGCGGAAGTGGTATGTATCTTGACCATCATTCCTCTCAAGCCACCTGCGTTTTGTTGACAAAGAAGCAACGAGGCATAAACCACAAATTTGAGTTGTAGTAGTGTCAGAATTGCATAAGGTTATCGAAAAAATGCAAAATAAAAAGTACTTGGTTTTAAGATGAATCAGGCACAGAAGCTTTCTGGGATGGAACAAGAGCGGGTGTCTACCAATCTAGGAAAGTCGGGGAATCTCTACTCCAATCGGCATTGGTCGGGGAGCTTTCCTTTCTCGGAGCCACTGCAAAGGACGCGTGTGTGGGGCGACTCGAAGACCTCTTCTGAAAAAACCAGGACAAACAGCCCCCAGTCTGTCCCACATACTTTGAAAAACTGTTCCTGCGTATGGGAGCTTCTCCAAACAAGTTCACGATGCAAGACCTTGCCTGTCGGGCTTCCTTACCCACCCCTAAATTGAGCATTCCTACAGGCTGTCCACAGCATGGCGGTCGAGTTCGTTTCTGCCGCTCTGATGAGAAGGTCCCCAAGTTGTCCTGGGGAAGCCACGGTAGCATAGACGCCTAAGCGATGAGTATGTATGCTTCCGCAGCTTAGTGCCTAGGAACTGCCTTAACTTCAAATTCCTCTATAAGTTTGTGTGGTAGTTTATTTAAAAGTGGATATTCATTCGGTATAAAAAGACATACGAAAATAGACTGGAAAGGTCAGGTGCTCAGCTCTTGGCCAGCACCCTTTCGGCCGTTTGAAGTTCCCGTGTTTTAAAACTGCACTTGAGACACATTCTTAGGAGTCGGTCGGGGAATTTCCATGAAGTGGTCGGGGCAAGCCTCGAAAAATCAAAGAATTTGAAAGCATCAGTTTGGTAGACGGCTTGAAAAGAGACGCAGGTCTAGCCACTCAGCCACCAATCCCAACCAATTTGGGCCGTCCAATAAGTCAATGTGAATCACATTAGCAAACAACCGCTTAATGTTTTTTTTTGTTTGTTTTTTTTTAGCACATTGTTTTTTGGCGGCACCACTGCGTGTTGCTCCTCAAAGACACAGATGCAATTTGTTGAGTTTATATTTAGAGCCTCTCCTCGCTTTTTCTGAGAACAGATCGGGCTTTTATGGTCAAAGCAAAAAGGGCAGCCATTTAGGTGCCGCTTTTTATCCACGGGAGAAAATCTAGGCAGAAATGGGCAAACCCCGTGAGGGACGGGCAAGTGAATGCCATACGACGGGAGCATACTTTTCACTCAGAAATGCTTTAGTGGTGCAGCACCCTATATCGGCGAGCAGACGAGGTGAGTCGCGCTGCCAGTGCGATGCATTCTGCTCTCGTGTCTTTTGAATTTAGAGAGGGCCCTTCTCGCTCGCGCTTTTGTTTTGTCATCCGACGCACTTTCCGGATACCGCTGCGGCCACCCACACCCGGGTGGCCGCAGCCCGCGCTTTTTGCCCCTTTTCCTCTTTCCTTTTCCCTTCTCTCTTTCTCTTTCCTGGAGGGCTACGGAACCCAGATTGATTCGTTCTGTTTGTGCCCCCGGGCCGCGCTGCTTCATGCAGAACTGCAGGAGCGCCTGCAGAACATTGGCATCAGCGTCCTGCCGGCCGGTGTGCTGGAACCGTGGGCCAGCGGTGTCATAGGTGAGTGTCTCCAGAGGCTCGGAGAAGGGTGTCATCGCTCTTCTGCTTGGTGGCATCGGGCGGAGAGTCCCAAGGGATGTTGCAACTGAAGTTAGCGAGCAGAATCTCGTCCCGCGGATCAAGTTTAGCGTCCACTCTGAACGTCTATGCGGGATGGATCACCGTACCTCACATTTTTTGCTGGAAGTTTGGCGGTGTAACGAGCCTCGTTCAATTTTACCGCGGTCGCCGAGTGGTCGGCCATTGTTGGGGAGGTGTAGGGATTCAGCTAGCTCCACCGATCCCTGGAAGAGCTCGGCTTCTCCCGGGCCATGCCGGCTCGGAGGGTCGCTGTAATCGGACGCCGGGCATGCATTGCCCGCGCTCGCTCCGGTTTGGTGTTGTACCAACCGGGTGCGGAGCGGCAGAATGGCGAATTAACATAGTTGCGCACACTTCAAGCCATTAACTCGGTTTGAAACTATTTGGGACGGCTTGGTTTGGTCGTATCGGCAACATCGGACATCTATATCGTAGGATGTCTCGGGGAATGCGGGCCAAATCACTCTCGCGAAAACTATGCATCGCGCAGAAAAAGGGTCGATGCCATATTGATTCGAGCCAAAGGGCAATTAACGAAAAAGATTAGTGTTCGGTATGGTTGGCTAATTAATTACTTTGGAGTAATTAAATTTCTAATTATAAATCTGAGAGGTATGGTTTTAATGAGAAACTTGATGCGAATCGCAGAAAACTATTGAATCCACTTATGTTACAATGATATAAGGCACGCGCAGCACTTGATGCCGTTCCAAAAAAAAAAAAAGCTCACTTCCGGTGCATTTCTAGGGTTCCAGGGAAAGAGGTGCCTCGCACATTCTTCGAAAATAACTGAGAGAGAGTATTTTTGGTGTTAGGCGAACGTTTGCGAAGTCTCACTTTTCGACGTCCGCTCCTTCTGGCTTCCTGCAGCATACTGCGTCGGGACGTCCACGAACCAGCTCCGGTGGTTTCGGCTGGCAAATCGAGTAAGTGATCCCTCTGGCGGAGCATCTTTAGCGTGTACACAGCAGCTGCCACGTTCGCTTTGTGCGTAGAAGAAGTTGCGAGTCGGAATCACGACGCAAATTGGTGTCGATTGAACGGCATCGCTAATACACCGTTTGCTCAAATGAACACCGCCATTCGCTAAAGTTCATTCGATGAAACATTATGGGCAGGACTTTATTCGCTAAAACGTCATTATATAGAGTTAGCGCCTTCCAGGCCATACCCAACTCAACATTAATCGCGGCAAATGGTAGTGTGTTAGTATTTCAAGATTTATAGTGTCTAGCATTTTGACGAGGTGAATAGAAAAGTACCGGTAAAAAGTGACTTCACTTAGTTGCAAGTAATTGGAAAATGTCCCTACAATTCAGATACAGATACCGAGAAATGAAAGGACCTAGGTTTGTACCTGAGGTACAACGAAAGTACCTAGATGCCAATTTCTAGTTACTTGTACCTAGGTACTTTACAACCCTGGTGGCGGGGTTGTAAAGTCGTCGTAGTCAATCCGGGTGGCGCGAGACGCCGAGCGTGCGCCCGCCCGCCGCTCAGCAGACGTCCCTGTTGCAACGTCTGGTGCGTCCAGTCTGTCATCCGTTACTGTCTGCTAGTCTTGTGCGGACAGACGCGTTGCAGCGTATGGCGTCGTCTGCTATTGGAACACGCATCTACATACGACCCATGGAACACTCGTAAGACGTGACCACGAAAGCAGCGCATCTGCGTCCACCGTCACTTGCATCCGTTTGCTATTCCGGCCCCGTCCAAATCCATCTGCGAGGATCGCAAGACACAACCATGAAACTGCACTCTAGCATTTCATTGTGCACGAGCCGTGATCTAATACAAGCGTCTGGCAGCGTCTGTCAATTTGTGAGAAAAAGTGACCGAAAACTATAAAAAGATCAACAAAATAAATATCCAGTCTTTTCTGTTCTTGTTGTTTTCTCACGTAGCGTCCGCGAGCAAGGTGCATGAGCGTCCTAACAAGCAATGACAAGGCGATCTAAAGATATTTGTTTGAGCAAACCAGGTGCACCACTCAAAACTGGAGACCTAAGGGCCTTTTGAAGCGAAATGCCAGAAACATACCTGGGCAGACGTGACGTGAGGCGAACACCAGATTTCTTCCAGCCAAATGTCTCACAAAATCTTACCCGCGTAGGTTGCCTCTCAGCACTGAAACCATGGTCGCAATCACGACAGCTGCACGATTCTCCAAGTAGTGGGGCTGCTTTTACGGGAAGTAACCGCCACATTTATTCAGCATCAAAACGCGCAAACGAACAAATCAAACTAGATCGATCAAAATAGTTAACATGGGACACTGGGCTTGCACCAGTCCCGCTCTTGAAAACGAGCGCTTGCACAGTGCTTCCGAAGGCGTGTACTTGCAGCAGTTGTTTGCTGCGAACAATGTCGGTTGAGGATATCTTCCGCTGAACACCTCGGTGAACGCGAAACAACTTGCACTCGTTAAAAGCAAGTGAGCTCAGCGAACTGTGCAGTGTGTCAAACGCTTGCCACAAATCGCGGCAGGCATGTTTGCTATCGTTTGAAACCAAAACTGAAAAGGTGATCTCCTGATATTTTAGAGCGCAGCTCTTAGGGGCCCGTTTCCGACTTGAGCGGCGTCGCCGTCGCCGTCAACGTAATTGCGCGGTGCATTATGGGAAATGTCCCATAATGCACCGCGCGAGCCCCCCACCGGGGTCACGTGACCTCAGGGGGGTCACGTGACCCCCGCCGATGTCGCGTGGCCCCCCGATGACGTCATCGTCGCTAATGACGTCTCCAGCATCCACATCGTCATCGTCATCATCACTGATGACGTCATTAGTGACGTCACTGATGACGTCACCGGCATCCACATCGTCATCGTCATCATCACTGCTGACGTCACCGGCATCCGCATCGTCATCGTCATCATCACTGATGACGTCATCAGTGACGTCACTGATGTCGTCACCGGCATCCGCATCGTCATCGTCATCATCACTGATGATGTCATCGGTATCCGCATCGTCATCGTCACTGATGACGTCATCAGTGACGTCAGTGATGACATCATTGGCATTGGGGGTCACGTGCCCCCCCTGGTTAGTTGAACCCCCCCCCCCCAGTACTTTTCCCTCCTCCTCCTCAAGAGCTGCGCTCTAATTCGGCGTTACAGGGAGTTGTAAGCGGCTTCCACTTTTTTAAGAACAATATACTATCAATATAGTTGGTTTCTAAAACATAAAAGAAATGTAGAGTAAAAGACCACCTGGGCACGGGGAATCAATTTTACAACAACATTCTACACACCAATCATCTCTCCTATTAATGAGGGCTGAGAAATGGAACGTAGATAGTTATACTACTGGGCGGGGCCCAGAGTGGGCTATCTTCATCTAAATTGCACCTAACAGCGTAAATATTCTGCAAAATGTTTTTTTTTCTGCAAGTTAAAAAAAGTTTTAAATAATTTTTTTTTATGTTTTTTTTTATTTGAGTTTTTTTATAAGAGGGGTACGATATCAAATTTTATAGTCCATGGTCTATGGTCTGGATTGAAGAGTGAACTACTAACAAACTCCCTAATACGCTATAATGGAAGGGTGAACTGCTTACAAACTCCCAAATACGTACAGACCAATATGGCCAAATGTGTGTTATAACAGAATCTGTAATAAGCAAAGTTGGCTCAATGGGATAGAAAGACCAACCAAACTTCACAAATCGATAGGAGCGGGGACGGCGTCAGGGACGGTCGGCCTTGGTGCCTTGGGGCTGCTACTGAGCGCATGGTTCTGGTTGGCGTGTTCATGCGTGATGCACTTTTAACGAAGAAAGTGAGTGCATCAAATTAGAAATTTTTGTTTTCTGCCTCGCAAGAGCGTTGCACGAAGGGACCTGGATGTCTCATTTCATTAGGGTCTTTTCTTGTATCGTATACGCTGCGGATTTTGGGCCTTGGGGTCGCCAGCTCAAGTCGTGCTCATTGTGACGGTAAATGTTCCCGCTGCTAATGTAGAGCTGTAGCGTAAGGTCTACGAAAAGTCTAGTCTTCGCCCCAAGTAGGAGAAAACTGATCGTGCAACGGTGCAGAGACCTAAATGTTCAGCGCCTATCCTGTTGCCCGGAAGCTTTTGGAGATCACTTTCCATTCCCTTCATACTTGGGTGACCAACCTTTAGTACCATTTCAGCGTGTTTGGGACTTTTTAAATAAAGTTGGCCATTTAGACCAGCTGTAACTTTTAACTACTTCTCAGATACCATTCTTGAAAAACTTGTGTTTGGCATGCTATGGCTTAGTTGTCCCTGTGCCACTAAACTTGCAATCATCATCATCATCTTTATAAAAACATTTAAAAAATCCTGGCACCTGGAGTGATTATTTGCAATGTTTGTGGGCCTGTATGTTGGTGAGAGTAGATCTTTTTTAGTGTATCACTCTCACACTTATTTACGTATAAAATTATGTAAATGTAGAGTATTTGTATGGGGCAGTTGCCAAGATGTTAGTGCACAAACACGCAATCAAGACTCAAAAACAAAACTTTGTGGCGCCCATTAAAAAAAAATGTTTTTTTTTTTGTCATTTTGCTTTCAGCCTTTGTAAAATAAAAGGGAATGCTGTGCAGCTGGTATTTGAAATGGTCCATATTCGTTCACCGCAACATGTTTTGCATCTACGTAAATTCCCGTAAAAGCGCCCTTCCTGGAGTGATCCCCATTCCTGTTTTCCCGGGCTAAATATCCGTCGCATAAAAATTTGGAAGCATTGCCCCCGATTCCCGTCAGGCATTAGGCGGTGTCCAACAAGGATTACATGAACTGCACGATCTGCGGTACCGGTACTCGTGACAAGCGGGTTCGCAGCTGTTCCCGCGTTTTTTGTGCACAATCTGCTCACGTGATATAGGTTCCCGTGTCACGCAAGCTTAGCTGGTTTTCTCGTGTTTATCATGGCGTGAAATACGAATCTGCCACATTCGCAGTGTGCGGTATCCTTTCCCATCGTAGCAAATTCCTTGCACGTTTATTGAATTGTGAAACGCAAATTTGCCTTGTTCACAATCTGCGGTGTCAGTTCCCTTGTCGCTTGATATGTAGTGTTTATCTTTAATTTTTGACAAAGTTTCGCTGCCTCATGCCCAAAGATAGCCCACCTCATGTTTTTTTGCCATCTATCTCTTCATTTTGAGTGGGTGCCCTCTAGAGATTTAGGATAATTTCGGGACATTGAGTGCGATCACCCGATGCCCGGTGCTCATGTTTCCAGGGGTTCGTCGTGAGAGGACGCCTGGGTTCGGAGACGAGCACCTTCGACGCCAGCGGGGACGTGGTCGAGACCCAACCGTACCGTGAGTGGCTCATGCGCCCTCTCTTCTTCCAACCCTCCTTTGAGGGTTGGAACTGGGCAGGGGTAACTTGAAGGCCGCACGCGCGTCGTTGAAAGCTCGGTGGTAACCTCTTAGCCACGGCTGTGGCGGGCTCGAGATGAGAGCTGTCCTGCAATTTGGCCGCCGAGCTTCACCTGCATTTCGGCACCAGTGGAGTTACTGTACAGGGTGCACGAGGTATTTGAGACCATAACGGTGGTCTCGGCAAATAAAACATTGTTTTAAAGATATTGCTACAGTCGAACCTCGATATAACGAACTTCAATGTAACGAAATCCTCGATTTAACGAAGTATTTTATTTTTCATAATTTCTTGCCCATAGACCCCATGTATTTTTAGTCCCTATATAACGAAGTCTATTTTGCTGCTATTTCAATATAACGAAGCGCCATTGCCATAGAAGGCAATAAATAAATCAACTCTAAAAAACAACTGCGCAAAAAAATTGTGGTTAAAAAAAAAAAAAAATTATGCGCAAACGCGAGCGCTTGATAGGTTACTTCACGGGGACAGGCCTTCCAACGTTCCTAGGCTGCCTGAGGATGCGGCGCCGGTAGCGCCGGCGAGGCATGCGGCAAACCGCATTCCGCGGGGCTGGCCAGAAAATGCCGAGCAAAAAGTTAACACGGCATAACAGCATCACCACTGACATTCACTGATCATCATAGTCCACTGTACCGCGGGTTCTAGCCACCATACCGCGGGTAGCGCGGGAGCCAACTTCAGCGGGGGAGCGGGGGAGCGACGTGATGGCAGTGATGGCGCGACCGCGCGACCCAGCGCGACCGCACGGGCAGTGCCATCTAGGAGAAGACCGAAAAGACCGATTATCGTCTTGCGAGCGTGATGTAAAGCAAAGGCGCAAGCACACTGTGGGCGCAAGGAGGCAACTAAACTGTGCGGTAAAGAGTGCTGTGTAGGTTGGAAACATTGGCACCGCCTAAACTAAACAGCTTTATTTTTTAACCGGGCGGTTCACTTACGTGCTTGCTGCCATAAGGAAACGTAAAGTTCTTTCTTTGGATGAGAAAGCAAACGTTTTGGACGCCATCCTGAAGAAACTGCCGAGATCACGAGCACTCGGGAAGTGCTTACGCAATGGACGTACTGAGGAGGTACACGGCGTCGCATGCGCAGTAAGATGCCGTGCAAGCGCTCTGGGCGCTCGAATGGCTCGAACGCCGTATAACGCCGCCGACGCCGCTGCTACCGCTGCTACTGTCGGACAAGGCGCAAGCAAAACTCGCGGACTACTTTGCCCCTAAATAAATGTCATTTTCGGTGAGTTTTCATACCCGTAAAATGTTTCGGAACTTTTTTTTTTTTTTGCATGCTAAAGCCAAATTTCGATTTAGCGAAATTTCGATGTAACGAAGTAAATTGCGGATTTTACCGACTTCGTTACATCGAGGTTCAACTGTATAATTGCGCGAAATTCGGTAGAGATATTCTTTTCTAGTCGTGTTCTCGAACTCGGTTCGATAAAACCACCTTCAGCACCAACGACTGACTCGATGTGGCTCGGAAAATGACTGCATGTTTTGATCAAGTGTTCCTCGTCTATGTTGGCCGTGGCGTCCTCAATGGCAGCCTTTAGTGACTCCTTGGTATTGTGGGGCTGCTTGTTGGCCTCTTTCAACAACGCCCCGGACATAGTAGTCTAGGTGCTTTACATCTGGGGATTTAGGAGGCTCACGTTGGGGGTGACGTGGTTGTAGAAATTGTCAGCCAGCCAATCTTGGGTCGCGTGAGCCAGGTGGCATGAAGCGGAGTCTCGTTGAAATATGTAAGGCGTCCCCCGGGCCACCCTCTTGTCCAAGGTTTTTACTACGGTGCCCAGGGTCACGATGAAGTCCTTCGTGTTGACACTAAGGCCTCGTTGGAGGAAGTACGGTGGCACAACGTGACCTTCGTTGCTCGCAATGGCTAGAACCATCGCAGATGACAGAAACTTTGTCTGCATGACGGTAAAAACCTCATCAGGACTCGCACGACGCCACCTGTCATTCCTCCTGTTCACCTTCTTGTTTTGGGCAAAGTTCTTCTTGTAAAAAAACCAAGGCATGTCCGGTTCCTCAAGGGGGTTGACCTTGTTAAACAAGCGCCTTGACTGGATGACACGGTTTTCCTGGGTCTCTTGGGACACCAAATGCCCTCTCCTCATCACAATAGCTAGTATACAAGGTCCTCGTGGACCACAAGCCGGATAGTGGACCCCGCCACCTTGAGCCACTTGGCAGTGGGCCTCATTGACTTGCCGGGGTCTTCGTTCACAATGTCCCATCGGAATCTGAAAGCTATCTTTTGACCTTGAAAACGAAAGACCTTGACACATTCAAGATGGTTACATCCAAACCGCTGTGGTCGGCGGCCAAGGCAACTGCAACGGCGTGCCTTTTCATTCTTGCGTCTGACCAGAAGCTGTCATTTTGAAGTTGGTATATCTACTAGTTAGATGACATACTAGATGCAGTCGAAGGTGAAGTCGGGCATCTAGACAGTGTGGGATGGTCACGGGTGGCGGTAACTGAAGAATTCAGCGGCGGTCTCTAATCGGAAGGTGACAAGCCTACTCCCACACCCTGCAGCTTTCTCTCGAGAACACCGCTACGGGCGGGTCCAAACATCAGCCACACAACTGATTGCTTCTCTAAAAAGGAGGAGCACGTACCACAATAGGACTGGGTCCAACGGTGTTTATTAGGACACCAAAAGACACACTGTCCCAAAACCCCCGCGCCAGCAAGGTCAGATGAAAGGCTCACCCTGTCGACACCCTCCCGGTAGCGCAGTTCAGTGTGAGCAAAAGAAGTCCTTCACCGCACGTCCGATCTCTATCGCTTCCGCGAGAGGACTCCCTGAAGTCGGGAACGCGCGGCGACCTCCTCCCCTCGCGGGCGTCGTCCTCACCCAAAAGAACCAGGTTCTTGGATGAGCGGGTGGATGGAAAAAAATCCCCCTGGAAGAGATTGAAGAGGAGAGCCCCCCGAGCCAGGTGGCTCTGCTACGCTTCACGAACAGGTTGGAGCTCACGGCCACCAGGCCGAACGTTCCAAACCACTGACGTTATGCTGGCCATCGGGGAAGGGCGACCAACAATTCCCACAACAGATGTAGTAAGCGTATGAGAGAAGTTAAGCACCCTGTTGTTGCGTTCTGAAATGCCTCGTGCACCCTGTATATGCTCCGCTTGGGGAACAGAGTAACGCGACTGTCTCGAATGTTTTATTCCAAGCGGTGTGGAAGAAGCAACCATCTTTCTCTCAAGAGACGTTACGGGCTCAACAACAAGAGGTGGTGGACCACTGCGCATGTGCCGCCCCCGATCCACGCCGTGGTGCACTGGCTGAGGCTGGAAATTTGTCGCAAGTGCTCGCTCTCGAGCACGTTTTCGTTTTTGCCTCTGGAAAGGATTGCAAAACCTCCAGACGTTTTCGGAGACGGCAGAGAGGGAAATTCTGATCGGACCGAAATTCGCATTATGCTTGCTCTGAGGGATAAAATAGGCGGCTTTTTTTTAATGTGAAAGCATTAAAGGGATGGTGTACCGAAATTCGTATTTAAAAAAAAACAATGCAGGAGATGTAGGCGGGATGTTACAATTTCTACAACACTACTCGTAAGGCGATATCTCGAATGGACGGCTGTATTTTTGGAAAAAGAGGTCGAGATCGAAAGAGGCCGATGAGGCGCGTGACGTCAAGATATCTTGTTTCCTCCTCTCTTTGCTTTGCCCCCTCAAGGCGGCGAGGCGGAAAAGACGCGAGGCCGTTCCCTCTTTTTCTCGGAGATACAAGACGTAAACATATCTGTCAAATGCGCCTCCTTTTCTTGAAAAATAAGGTCATCCGTTCGAGATATCGCTGTATGAGTGATGTTTTGGTGTTTGTAGCATCCTGTTGCACGCTTTTGCCGCCGTGTTTTGTGGAATCCAGATTTCAGTTCAGCATCCCTTTAACTGTCTCAAGGAGCGAGCCGACGTCGTCAGCTTTGAAACCAAGCCAAACGGCTCTTTTCTACTGCTTTGATCCCATTGGCTAGCCACAGCCAACGACACCTTTTACACGGCTGCAATCCCATTAGCCAGCGTAGGTCGACCAGGCTCCCATTTGCCGGACATGCAGCGCCATGGAATGGCTAGTCGTTGAAACTGACACTGCGCGTCAGTTTTAATGACCGGCCACTTTATGGCGCTGCATGTCCGTCGGCACCAGTCAGCGCGCCAACACGTGGAGAGCAAGATTGATGTACAAGCTTTCGCATTCACAACTCATAAGAAGTGCTTAGGTGTACCTTAATCTTTTTTTATTGCTTAGCTAGCAACATCGTCGTCGTTTTTTCTTCCACCCAGTCTCAGGTGGTCTAACAAAATGGTACACCTACACCAGCTCGCCTGCGCCCTAACTGTTTTTTCAACATCTTAGAGGAGCTTTTAAGGTAAGCACTACATGGTCAAGCTGTACCTTTCTGAATTAATAGGAGTCAAAACACAAATGTAAGCAATAGGCTGCTTCCATAAATCCCCGCATGCAACGCTGTGCATGTTGCATCCTGGGAGCCAGATGGTTAAGGAGCGGGACAAGAAGGGTTCCGGTTTTGGTAGTCTCGTTGACAAAGTGTCTGTTGCGAGGCTGGCTGAAGCATGGGACGTAGGAAGCAACAATTTTTTTTTTTCCATAGACTCCTTGTAGACGCAGTTCGACATCTGTCTCGAGCAGGATTTGACGTATGCCGTGTCACTCGCTACGTTCGAACACCAAACTCTCTCTTTCGGATTAATTCTGCTGGTCAGCGCACCTATCATGCCTAAATTGCGTCGAATGATGAAGATAAATTTTTGAGTTTGATGTTTTTTATTGCCCCAATGACGGGTCATGTGAGGTAGAATGTGGAGACATTGTCCAAAAGCCAGAATTATATAACCTCAGTTTTCCAGTAGAGCACCGTATGAAATTGGTGCTCGCTGGCATTGTACGAATTTGTCCTTGTGTCTTGTATCCGAATTTGTGGTACGATAACATAGATGCAACGTAGCAAACAGTCGGTTTTAGAGAAAGTGAAATCGGGCAGTTGCACAAAGAATGTCGCGTTTTGTTTGCCGGAACGTTCGGGCACTGTAAGGTTCCGGAACCTTTTTATTTGTTATCTTACTTCGTCTGGAGGTCGTGCGCGAACGATTTCGGGAGAGACGTGTGGGGTTCACTAGGGGCTGTTTACGACCTTTGGAAGGGAGAAATTTGTGCACGGGGTGGGGAGCCCCCTTTGCGGTGTGGGTGTCCCGTTACTCAGGAACAGGCCACGGCACGGTGGGCCGTGGCGCAGTGGGCCGCAACGCGTTCCGCACCCTGCTCGGCTGCCTGCAGCTGGGGAGGCTCCGCGGTTAAGTGTTTTTCTCTGGTAGTCGACCAGTGCCACCGCTTGGGGTTATTTGCTTGGAGAGTCGTTTGTCGCTTCCCAATGGCAAGTGCCGGTCGCTTTCCTAGAAGTGTCTCGGACGCTGTGCTTCGTCTGTCGGCACCCGTCCCTCCAGCCGGTGTTTGGAGTGCCAGGGGTGATTTGTCGTGTCTGAGGGCCAGACTCGTATGCGCCTCCTACGCCTGGTGCTGTCTAGCCCTGGACTCGGAGCGCCGGATGAGAATGTTGACCCCACGGGAAAATAAGAAATAGGGACTGGCTGCTCTCAATAAGAGCACAGGCGAGACAAAGGGAGGGGGTCTTTGGTTCGGTACCGTTGGAGAGAAAGGAGCCGCTCTCTAACGGCGGCCAAGTCCGGGGCTCGGGTTGTTGATGTTTGTATTCCTGTATGCCGTATGATAAATTGTCTTGTTGCAAAGAAGTATTTGCGTAAACAGTTGTCTGGCCCGAACTGCTACGCCACCGCCACCGTCCAACGCAAGCCATCTTCCTCCACACCATCGAGGAGGAACCACCGTCTACAACTTATCAAGAACCTTACTGGCACGAACCCCAACTTGCATAAACGTGCAACCTAAAGGAAAAAACAATAACGAGCACTTTTAATGAACGCGAATGCGTACACTTGGTATAGGTTGGTACAAACGTTGCATTACAATCGATACGGTAACCGCACAAAACTTCCATAAGAAAAGAGCATTTCTGGACATTCTCCAAAATGCCGCGCGATTGGGGACCTTCGACGTGGCAACGCGCAGTTGGCGGGCAGTTTTCGGTTTTTCCGACGCCAGTTTGAGATTGAATTTTCGCCTCTTTGGTCCGGAATCTCGGCGACAATCAAAACAATCACACCGCCGTAGAAACGGGTGTCCTTTGCTTGCTCGCCCACAAACTGTCTGTCCGCAGACCACGTGAGTCCGGAGGCCGTAGAGAGGGCGCTGGACCGGTTCCGAGGCCACTTCTTCCAGGACGTGCCCCCTCCCCCGGACGGCGGCAGAGCCAGCCCCGTGGCTCCCATCCAGCGCCCCGTCGTCTGCCACGCGATTGCCTGTGCCCAGCTCGACCTGCCCGATTTCTCGCTCGGTAAGCATTCCTCTACGCGTGTGCTGGCAGTGGGGAAACATTCCAGGGGCCGAGGCAGATGCCAGAATGTCTCTCCTATCTAAAATCTCGGTGATTTCGCGAATTGATAACAATTTGGGAAAGCTCGTCGGTTTGTGAACCAGTTTAACACCCCTTTCATCGCGACAAAGCGTGGAGTTGGGCTAGTTAGTTTGCCTTGCTAATGAAAAAACAGTGCTGTGTATGGGTGCTCTTTCCTCTAGTCCTGTTTTTTGTGTCGTTTTTTCCCCGTAAGCTACACTTTGATCGTGCAGTTTTGTTCGTGCAAAATGTTTTAAGGAAGGCGTTACTTGAAGCCGCAACGAAAGGCCCGAGCATCTGAGTCAACTTTCCGAGGGAGGGGGCTGGCCAGGATGGCGACGACCGATGATGATGTTCTCCGGATAAAGGCCTCACGGGAAGTCAAATAAAAAAAAACTAAAACTAAAAGTTGTTCGATCCCGCTGGACACATTACGACGTTGATTGGTTTACGATGGCCAGTGTGGCCACGTTTATTTCAGAACAAAACGGCAACAAGTGAACTGTAATTTACAATTCAAAACTCCCAAAATTAAAACCCATACTTTAGTCCCCCAGTCTCAAGAGCCGAATCTGCCTGACCTCAAAAGCCGAATCCCCGAGAATCCTCTCGGCACCCCTTTTCTAGACTCGTGGGGGCCTCCTTTCCCTCCAGAGACGGACCAATCACTTCAAATTTGCCCATTGTCACGTAGTACACTCTTACCCAATGATCAGCGAGCTGTCAACGTGACCCCCTCCGACACCTCAACGGTCAACACCAAATTCTTTGTAGAATCATTACATGCTTTCCTCGCCGCTTGGCTGGCACCACCCAGTTAAGTTATTGCATCGACTAAAAGCGAAGTTTCTACACTAAACGGCGAAATACACCAGACACAGGCACACCCGCTTAAAAGCCACAAGTGTGGACAGAACTGCACATCGCGTCACTGTTAGCGCGAACACGACATTGGCTTATTTTCGCATTTTACTTCTAAATGGTATTAGCGAGCACGAATTTTGATCACTTTCATTACAGAACTAAATGAGCTCTTTCCGTAGCAATAATAGCTTAGGTGACGTCCCAATTGGTTTCAAAGAGAAAAACTGGAAAAACCGGCGATTGCTTGTTCATGTTAACAGTGTCGCGCTCCATACCTCTGCCCAAGACACGGTTGTTCCGGCGCCTTAGAATGAAACCCAATCCGTTTGTTAAAGGGAAACTGAAGCGGTTCTCTATTTGAGAAAAAACATTTCAATGGCCTTCATTCTACCTCCAGGATCAGGAATATTAAGATTATTTTTCAATTTGGTGCACGGAGGCTTCAGAAATTAATTTTTAAAGTACCGCCGAAGCCCCTCCTTCCCGGGGCGTGACGTCACACTAGGAGCGTTCGGAATATCTGCTCTCGCGCATCTTCAGCGCCTGTCAAAGCTATGCACGCGCACTCTTGCTATTTTCAGAAAGGTCAGAAAGAGACGTCACGACTGGTGTCAGTGCGGGGAAATATACCTGGCAAGCTTGCCGTTGCACGCGCTGAACACACGAGCGACACGCGCTTGGAGGCCCGAAGATCCTAGTATGACGTCACGACTGGTCGAATGTTTTTTCGCTTTTTCTCGCTTTTAGTTGCATCTTCAGGGAAAACAAAAGTGATATTCAGATTCACGGGATAAAAATACGCCAGAATTCACCTCTAACTCGTTTTTTTCAAGAAGTGTTTCAGCTTCCCTTTAACGACCGGGGTCCGACTCATCTCCACCGAGCCCCGCGGCTGCTTGAAGCCCCCGCGCGTTGGGGCGGAAGACCACTCGCCGTTCATGCTCTCCCGCAAGCGTACCCCCTGCCGCGGGTCTGCGAGCAAACGCCCAAAAATGGCGACACAAACATAAGCAGACAAAAAAACAATACCGACGCAAATATAGAAAGATAAGCTTTTCTAAAACAAATCTTACTTATTACAAAAAAAAATCCATCGTTACTTAAATCTGGTTTTCTGCGGGGCGTACGGAGAGCAAAATACACGAGACCCAGAAAATGTCCGGGCTCAGAAATGTGCGCAAAGGCGCTGTGCGTGGGAAGCATCACGCTGGGCTACTCATTATTAAAGCTCCCTTCTTTTCACTCGCGTGTCATCTGCGTTGGGGCACTGCCACCGTGTTGTGATCGCTGCACCAAACTGTGCCAATGGGCTCGCCCTGCTACATGCTGCTACAATTCAGCTGAATGTGACGAACTTGTGTCAGCGCTTTGCGAAAAGCTCATTTTGGTTCTTGACTGCCTTCTAATAATTTGGATCTCAGTGCATGCTGGATCTTTACAGTAGGATGGTGCCTACTTTAAATGATTTGTAATATCGGTTCGGATTACATACTGTTCAATTCGACCTTCGTATCAGACTCGACAGTTGTCGGAAGTTCCCCAACATGTGTTGCTCAAATTGCTCGAAGTTTGGGCGGTTTGGCTAGCTCCAGCAAATGTGCTTCTTAATAGGCTCTGGTGCAGTACGGAGAAGCAACCATATTGCGGGCACAGCCATTCTGCATGTAGCGCTTCGCTGCAATGCAGATGCGTTCTCCGTGAAAACACTTTCCGAGTGTGGCATTAAAAAAAATTAAAATTTGAAACGTGGCGCATGTTGATATGACGATGCAACATTGCCGTAAAGTTTTCAAAAGAAACCCACGATTATTATCTGCAACTTCAGTGCCTCGAATAGCTGCGTACATTATTGGTCGGGTCGAGATTGTTTCTTCGGGTTTAAGGTTTAAGAAAGAGTATCTAAGTATACCGAGGTATCCGAGTACCTCAAAATCCCCCCCAAAGGTAACCCGCCCCCTATTTATGGCTCAATTTGCTACTTCGTTTTTAAACACCGAAATATAGCCCACTTCTAGTGATCATAGTGTTTGAATCAACGATGACCTCGGGGTAAATGCGTCTAGTTAGCTATGGCAGGATATAAGCGAACATTGTTGACTGGAAGTACAGTCATCTTTGCTTCATCGCCCCTTGTTGCGGTAACATGTTTGACAGAGACACATAATCTAAAAATAGCATTTTTTCAAACTTTCTCGATAGCACACCAAAAGTTAGCCCTTTCCTTATTTTTACTCAATTTTCTCTCGATTTTAGGTGGGCTATCTCTGGGGCTATTACAGTAGGTATAGGGACGTATGATTTATAGGTTCGTTTTCCATGTGAAATCCCTCGTTTTCTTTTCCCCTCTCTGAAGGCTTTGACTCTTAAAGGGGCTGTGCAACGATTTTAACGTTTAAAGAATTGGCATCTTCTACCTTTGACATTGTTCATCTTGTCACAAAGGACAGAAAGCACACCTCTTTCCTTCGAAATGTTGCGATTCCGCCGCGTAATTCCAAGGTAAAAATGAGAATATTCCCCGACCTGCAGCCGCGAACGGCGGCCATGAGAACCACGCAGCACGACGTCAATGGGGGTCTTGTAGAAAGACAGCAAGTTGTGCAAATAACTGCTCGATAAAAGGTAACTTTTACCGCGAACAGCCGCCGGAAGCCGGAGGGGGACAGAGCCGGACGGGGATGGCCGCACCCGGATGAGACTTTCCTCCTTTCACCACATTGTTCGCGCTGCACCACCACGTAGTCAAGCGGTCGCGAGCGGTTGAGTTCTCGCTGCTCACTGATGGCTCTAGAGAGAGAGCTTCACCGGAACCCCGCGCGACCCCCATCGACGTCGCAGCGCACATGACTCGGAAGATGCTGAAGGTGTTGAGAGATGCCAAAAACCTCCATCTTTGTCCATTTTTAAAATAAAAACTAGGACATGCAGGCAAATGCGTTTTTTTTTTTTTACTTCGGAAAGGTCAAGACACCAACTCCCAAATTATTTAAGCAAAGCACTGAAATTGTTGCACAGATTCTTTAGAGGTCACAGTCAATTGTAGTTTAAAAAATTTTACTTTATGATTAATTGGAAATAAAGTAGTTTAAATTAAAACGAGACTAGCTTATGCTGCGGATGAATGGAAGCCTGGCAATAGACTTAACGAAATCTACCGGATTTGAAGTAAGCACGTTTATTGCCCACATACAGCTTTTACGTAGCCATGAAGCCATCGACGCGTAGAAGGTTACTGGTGCACTATAATGATGGAGGCTTCTTTTGAAAGGAAATAAAAATCACATTATTATTGCGACTTGCAACAAATGTTTACAACAAAGAAATGCTATTGCATTTAAGGGGGGACACTACCTTGAATTGCACCGTTTTTCAAAAAAATGCATATTCAGAACTGCAGAGTTTTGGCATGTTGAAAGTAGTGAAAGCGCACAATAAAGACAAATACGAAGACGGAGAGGCAAACAGGACGAGCGCTGTATTTGTCTTTATTGTGCGCTTTCACTACTTTCAACATGCATAACCAACTCGCCTGCATCGCCACATTAGTAGAGTTTTGGCATATATGGATAACAAGGAACATCCTCACAAAGTCTTGTATATGTGCACTGACAAACAATGTCAAAAATAATTATTCTTTGTAGGTTGGTGAGGTGTGCTGCACTGCGCAGCACTCGTCACCCACTAGTGAAAATAGCTGAAAGCAATGTCAGTATATCTGAAGAAGTTTGACGAAGACATCACCTACCTACACTGCTGGAAAGGATTTCTGACATTTAAGACGAAAAAAGTAATTTTTAAGACGTCATCTTGAAACTTCAAGTGCATTCATCTCAGCTTCACTTTTTGGCACCACAACCTTAATAAAACAATCGTTTCAGTATGAAACTACCGAGAGACTTGATATCTGCGGATTATATGCCGAAACTTTATCGAGCCGGTTACTATGAACTTTGATTTTGCATTTTCATGTTCCTTTATTATGAAAAATTGTAATTTACAAAACTTTGCAAATTAAAAAAAAAATATATATATATATTTCATAATTTTTTTCTTATTAAGAAGTGCTTATTTTTTAATATTTCTTTTCATAGTAACCGGCAACAAGTATTCCAGTATGCATTCGACCAGAAAAATACGTGGTTCTCAACACCATTTCTCAACGATAAATTCATTGAGCAGATTCCATGCAAAGCTATGCTTTACTTCGTTTGGGGGGTATAGGACCTCACAAAATAGGTTCACAGGTCTGAAACTTTGCATGCCCTCCTTCTATATGGCTACAAACACCTCCTGCTAATTTCACGCCGATTGAGTGAGCCGTTTAAAAGTAGACATGCCCAGGTAGTGTCCCCCCTTAAAAACTTGTTATTGTAAACGTTCTCCCCCCCCAGAAGACTTGCCGCGTAAGTGTCATCTTGAGGTTTTTATGCCGACTGGACGCAGCTGGTGCCCAGTTGGTGGGGGCGGCGGAGCTCTCTGCCTGTCTCGGCCACATTCCGGGATTGAAGCCTGGACTGGGCAGGTATCTGTGGCGGAAGCAACTATCATTCTGTCTCGGGTTATCTAGCGTCGTGGTGAAACACCCGCCAAATTTTGGAACGGCATGCTTGGGCACATGTTTTCCTATATGTCATCGCAACCCCGATTCGCTCCACATGCTGATTTTAAGCTCGGACTTTGTTATTGCAGAGATCGAGAGCGGTCCTGGCTTTTCCCCACGGGTGTTCGTGCGCGATCTTGGACGAGGTAAGCCTTCTCAGTTTTAAAAGCATTGCCCGTGCCTACAAGCAGCTCCAAATCTGCTAATTTATTGAAAGCAGAACGCTGGTCTTGGAGCTTTCTTCCCTATTTTTGAACACACCCAATTAAATTGTGCAAGATTATCAAATTTTTCTACTGATTTCAAATATATGGCAAGTTTGTAATCAGTGGGTTAGTTCTCGGGAGAATTATAACTAATCCACCTTCCAAAAACAATAGGAAAAAAACGTTCGTAAAAAATTACTTGTTTACGTATGGCTAGATACTGCAAAGCTTGTATATAATATGATGTTGGAAGTCCTTTTTAGATTGAACCGTTATTAGTGACTTTACAGCACATTGAATTTCAGTGTTCAATGTGTGGCTACTAAGCAATAAAACGATAGTTCACTCGATAATTTTCCTACACCCATATTAAAAGATCTGCTCGCAAGATTGTATACTTAGAAACTTTAGCTACATATTACCAACAAAAGATATTTTTCTGTCTGCCCTAAAACCTGAGATATCCCTTTTGAAAATTTGCAAAGTTAAAAATTTGTGTTTTGAGAAAGTGACATTTTAGGATCAACTTAAATGCGATTTCAGCCTGCATAGATATTATGGCTCAAATATTAATCCGCGAAATAAGAAACTTGGCCGATCAAAAGAAAAATGCCTATACATTTAAAAATTGACAATTCCTCCTTCCCCCCCCCCCCCCCCCCCCCCCCCCAAAAAAAAACAACAACAACAAACACCAGTTATTTAGGATTGTTTTAGCTCCAAAGACCCATGTCTCCCCTTAATTGTTGTTGGCAAAATACTCAAACCACTTTTCAGACCCCCGATATTTCTAAAACAACCGTTAAAATGCTCGGGTAATGAGCACCCAGAGAATTTTGAAGCACTAGGGAAGGATGTTGAGACGTGGGGTGCTCTGCCAAGTCCCCCTATTTCGAGGGTATGGGCCAGTCCATGCTTTCACGCCCCAAGTGTGAGTCCCCCGTTCCTGCCCTCTTGTCACCCTCCAGTTGGAAAGCCACTCGGGGATCATCCCTCGACTAACCTGCGACTCTTGTTTGAGGTGGTGCGGAAGAGTCTACAAAATAGTATTGTTGATGGTACATTCGTACGTGCTTTTACATTAAACACCCCGAGGAATCCTGGCATTTGTTGCGCAGTTGAGTACTTTGGTGTCTGTAGGGGGCAGAACTACACACGTCGCTCCCCCGCAGTACTGCTGTGCCACCGATGAAGCGCAAACAATGCAGCGAATCGTCTTTTTTGTAGGAACCCTGAGCAGTTTTCAAGGCTTCGAAATTTATTTCTGCACAAAAGTGCGGAGCTAATTTAAATTTGAAATAGTTTTGTATGCATTTCCTCTATCGATTTTGTTTACGATACTCTTTCGCCGAAACGTAAAGGGCAAGTCCGGTTCATTTTACGTGTTAAGAAAAGAGTGCAACTCTCTTTAGTATTGTCTAAAAAGACTACGCGTCAAATATTTCGATCTAATTCCGCCTAAAAGATAGTCGAACTGATGAGCAAAGTTTGAGGCTTGCAAAATGACCAAAATCGGCTAATCCTAGCGGGCGAGACGTGGCAGAGCCAATAGCGCGGGAAATGCCACCGTGTTGGCACGGCCCACCCTTCGCTACCGACGTGCTCGGGGCACTTGGGGAGATTTGTTTTCTTGTTTCGCACTTTTTGAAGCAAAGCTTTGAGGCGGCACCAGCAGAGCGCTCATCATTGACCACGTGATTCGCGGAATGCGCCTGCGCTCGTGTGTTCTGTGCAAGCATGCGTCATTGCCAGCAGCGTTTGTCGCGTGCGAGACAGCCAGTTGGCGACGTTGAACACGGCGTGCTTCTACAAACCCGTCGCGACATAATTACGTGTAGTTTACTCCACTTTACCGAATGGACTGCCTGTCATTAGAGTTAACACTTTCTGCCTTGCGTCCGGCTGCCTGTTACATGACATCACGATTTGTGCCGCGTGATTAGAGTATTCAACAGTGATGCAGCTTCTTCACACATTCCATGAATTTGCTACCGTAGTGGATGATGGTCAGGTGGGTGCTATTTTTTTAAACTTAGCGAAGGCTTTTGGTAGTCTCTCGCGTCATAAATTACTGCATAAACTTAATCAGGTACTGGAAAATGACTGTCTATTGCAGTGGATTAACTCTTACCTTAGAGACTGTCAGCAGTATGTTGGTAGATAGGAGTCTATAGAAATGCCTCTTCTTTCAGGAGTGCCCCAGGGCTCGGTGCTCGATCCTTTGCTCTTTTTAATGTTTGTTAATGATCTGTGGGTGGTCCACCCATTAATTCGGTGTCATGTTTTGCTGACGATTGTGTTCTGTTCTCCGAAGCATCCTGTATTGCCGATGAGGAATGGTTAAATGATAATCTGCACATGGTATTCTCCTGGTGTGGCGAATGAATCTAAATGTAAAGGAATGCGTTCAGATGATGCTAACACTAAAGAGGTCTCCACTTGTGTTTTAATATGCTATAAACTTAGTTCCTTTAGAAATAGTCACTTCATATAAGTATTTAGGTGTAATCTTGACGTCGAACTTAAGTTGATCTGCTCATTTTGTGAATATTATAACAAACGCTCCCCGTAAACTGTGGTCTTCACGAAGCAATGTGTCACTGTACTGCAGAAACAAAGCTTGTGGCTTACGCTTCTTTGATTCGTCCACTATTGGAATATGCTGATATTTTATGGGACCTGCATTTTCGGACATCCATTGATAAATTGGGAGGCATTCAGAAGAAGGCACTTGGATTCATTTATAATGGCAGGGATACGTCCATGTTGTCCTTGTATGCCTCATCTGCATTACCACAGTTAACATATTGAAGGAAAGTCAAGCGCTTGAAGTTTTTGTATAATCCTATACACAATAAGATTGGGTTCAATTTCAACGACTCTAAAATACAACGACAGCCATGACAAGGTGGAAGCTCACAAATTTTCTTCATGGGTTTCAATGTGAAAGACATTTTGATATATTTTTTTTTCCTAGAACTGTCCGTGATTAGAATGACTTGTCTCAAAGTGTGACAAGTCTTGCTACGTATGATTGTTTCACTAGAGCTTTAGGCGATTCTGTATATAAGTAAACATACTCAAATTGAGCAATACTTTTGTATAATTTAAAATGCAAAATTTTATATTGTATATCTTTACCATGTGTGCCCTGCAACCACAAGGGTGGGCCGGCAGTATTCCTGAAGTAAATAAATAAGTAAAAATCTAGGTGATGACACAGGAACAATGTTGGTCGCTGTGGGCAAGGTTTGTTTGTAGTGAGCTTTAAACGAAGATTGCGCAATAAATATTACACTTTTTTAAGATAAATTTCATGGAACCATTTATTATTACCTGGAGATATATAATTGACCGTGAACTAAAATTCCTTGATTGCTGTTGCGAAAGTTGGGACATGCCATTTTAATGCCCAGACAGAAGACGAGAAAGAGATAACATTCTCTTTTTTTTTTCTCAGCATATAAAACTTATGTTTGGAGAGCTGAGAAATAACATGAAGAAAGAAACAGGAGAATGTTATGTTCGAAAAACTAAGAATTACTAGAAAGGACGAAAGATGACGTTGCTGACAGTAAACCACTGAAACAACCTCAAGTAGGGTTGTTTCATTTCTTTATTTAGGGAAGGTTTTTATATGCTGAGAAGAAAGACCAGAAGGAAACGCTGCCTCTTTCTTGTCGCCTGTATGACTATTGAAACAACAGTTGTGAGTTAGCACGTGTTTCGTCAGTGTGTGCCTGAGCTTCAGCATATCCAACGAGCCCACCTTATTATTTTGGGGCATGCACCAGGGTAAAACTGTTTTTATAATAGCAATGTTCTTTTAGACGCATTATTGCTATAAAGTATAGTAGATTCTTTTGCAACAAAAAAGTAATTTTTTAATTAATTTTTTGCGAGAAATTGCAACTACATAAGAATGCTAGGCAGAGAGGACGGCTAGGCCTACTTCTCAGAACAAATGTGGTGGTGGGCGAGGACACAATCTCAAGAACAACGCACATGATAATGGCTCCAATTTATGCCTTTCTGGGTTGTTGGGCGTTCTTCAAATGCCTATTTGAGTAGTTTGGCAGACATATTTGGTCCTTACATTACAGGGGCACTCCGCTTCATTTTTGTTTTTGAATAACAATGCAGTCCAAAGACCACATGTCGAATGTTATGACCTAGTTCTGTCTAAATGTCTCTGAAAGGGGCCAGCAAACTTTGCAACGCGCCAAGTTGCCGAAATCGGCTGACTCAAGCGGGAGAATTCAGGCGCAACCAACGGTGCAGTCAAGGCTATGGCATGGGCGTAGCCAACATTGAGCTAAACGTCATAACCGCCGTCATCGTCTCACTGTTTATGATTATTCTCGTAGTTTTGTTCACGCTACATGCGCAGACGGATGCCGCAGCTGTGCAGATGTCGTTGAATATCGTAGACACCAAGATGTGGTGAAGTGTGCGGTGCAGACGACACTTGCGCCTGGCACACGCCCACCCCAATCCCGCCTATTGTTGCGTAGTTTATCACCTGACATCTCGTACCACGTGATAGCCATGTTTTTGGCGGCCCGGGGTCAATTTTGCCAGACAAAGCCAACGTTTCGGTATCCCAAAATTTTCGGAATTGAATGGAGTTGCCTTTTAAATATGAAAATTCAAAGGTAATAAGACAACCTAAAACACAAAATCATTTTTATTTTTTGCAGAACATTGCCTTTTTTTGTTTGCATTTCCCTTTGAATGGGGCTAGAACACGAGAATTCAAGTGATAGGTTATTATTGAAATGGAATGCTCATAGGCTCCTTAGATGAACAGCAAATTTTGGTATTTTTGGAGCTTAATTGCAATAATCAATTTATGAATTTTGACAATTTTCATCTGGCAACCAGGCAGCACCGCTCAAGTTCGTCACACCACGGTGCCCATAAACCATGTGGTTACGAAC